GGGGGGGGGGGGGGGGGGGGGGGGGGATAACTGGCGAAGGTCTGGGCCGACGCAGACGACGGGGCAATTCGTAGGCTGGTACGTACCGTTTTTGGGTCGAGGACGGAGAGTCTCTTGACACGGGCGATGGGGTGGATCGCGAGGGCGGCCACTACTGCAATCGCTTCGTCCATTCTCCTGAGCGATGCTTCCACTGACCGAGTTGATGCCCGTTCATGAACGCCCAGCTGAACGCCCAGCCGAGAGCCGTACCAGCCGAGCGCCGTGGTCGTGGTCGTCGTGGTCGTCTTGGTTTTCTTGGTGCTCTTGGTCATCTCCAACGAGCCCGTCAAGCCTCGGTTCTTGCCCATCACGTAGCGATGGGGAGAGGTCGTTAGTGGCATAACGAGCATATGGCGCTCTCGCCAGCTCCCTCAGCAGCAGGGGCCTCCTCAGCGGCCTTCTCCTCGGCAGTCTCGGCTTCTTCATCCACATTCAGACCACGGGACACCAGCTTGTGAATGCGCTCGGCAAAGATGGCGGGCTCTTCAATGGTGCAACCGGAGACGAGCAGAGAGGTCTCCAAGAGAAGCTGGGTGATAGACTTGACGGTGCGGTCGTTCTCGCCATCAGTGTCGGCCTTCTTCTTGAGCTCACGAATGATGAGTGACTTGGGCGAAATCTCGAATGTCTTCTTTGAGGACATGTCAGAGGACATGTTTGTTGGTGGCATAACGAGCATCACGACCGGGCACACGCGGTTAGCTCAAAGGCAACCATTGTTTCGAGACGAGACAGAGTGGAGGGAAGACAGAAGAATGGACGGAAGACAGAAGAATGGACGGAAGACAGAAGAATGGACGGAAGACAGGAAGGTAGAGAGAGGAGGGGTGGAAAGGAGAACAGAATGGTGTAGTAGAGGGGAAAAGGCTCTACCTTGCATTTACAACAGCTTCTCCAATGTTTCTTCGAGGAATCTGTCAATCTTCCTAGGTTATTGAGCTGACAACTTCGCAGAGTCAGTGTCAGGTCTGATGCGAGCAAGTTGGGAACGAGAGATAGTGGCTCACTCATCTTGTGCTTCTTCTTCTGTTGAACGGCAGGAGATTCTCCGCGTGGCCAAGGAGGGACATTCCAATCAGGTCGTGAGGTCGTGCAGGCTCTTCCGATTCAGCGACCCTCAGAGTGAAATCGCCAGATCAAAGACGAGAGCATGGCCGGGCTGCCCACGATAAAAGACGAAAGCGACGAAGACGAATCTCCTCCTCGATGCCTGCGGCGTCCAGAAGCCCAGTCCTGGTGGAACCTTTGGCTCAAGCCGTTTTCCTTGGACCATCGGCTATTGTCTGAAACAGGGTGGTATCACGGAGTAATCATGCGACCAGCTGGCGAGGCGTCGTCCAGGAGTTCATCGGCGGCGCCATGGAGAAATGGCTCCGCATCTGCAAACATGAAACTGGATCGCTCGCGGGGTTTTTCCTGTTTATTATCGGACACAGCATTATCCACTGATAGATAGCGTTGGCTTTCGGTGGAGCTCAAAGAGGTCGCTGAGATGTAGACTCAGGCTGTCCCAAACTCTTTCCGGCCAACAAGCCTGGCGCCATGAGCGCTGTCATTGAAACTGAACGAGGCGGTGCGAGCGAGCGACCGGACCAAGGAGACATCTTCGTTGCATGAAGCCCCAAGACAGGCCGTGGTGTCACGGTCTCTTAGGTCATGAAACATGACGGCCACGCGTCATCGGCTCTAGAAGTAAGAGTGTGGTAGAAGGAGGAAAGAAGAGACAGACAAGGGAATAGAGACAAGGCACGCGAATGGAGAGGCACGCGAATGGAGAGTAGGGTAAACAGGAGAATAGAATGGTGAAGTAGAGGGGAAAAGACGAGAAAAGACAGGAGAATGGCATATAATAGCCGGCCCCGGGCCATGGGGGCGACCATGTCGTACTGTTGCGCCATGAGCCAGCAATTGGATATCTTCCAGGTCGTTGGGGGTCCCGTGAAGTCGCTTGACCACGTCCAGGACTTCGTGGCGACGGTTTTTCGAGAGGAGCCAACAGGGGCTGCAGGGGACAAGATCGCTGCCGGCCAGCAAGATCAAGGGGAAGACGACCTGGAAAGCCAGCGGGAATCGCCCGGCGAATTAGGCAGCAGGATCAGAAAAGACGAAAGCGAGAGCGCGGTAGAGCGAGAAAGGGAGAATGCGATAGCGAGAATGCGAGAGGGAGAATGCGGTAGAGTTCGTGAACGAGTGAGCGACGAAGCCGTGCATTCGTGCGGCGAAGACGCAGAGCCGTTAACGATTGGGGATAGTAACTGCGAAAAGACGACCGAGTCCAGATAAATTGATTAGATTAGGCGGGGATTGATGGAGTACGGCTGCGAAATGATCCGACTTGGAGTAATTGTCTGGCTCTCTGGCTCCTCACACACCGAGTGTATAGTCAATCAATCAATCAGTCATCCATCCATCCACCCCATGAACAATACTCTGTAGGCCAGTGTCTATGTACTTAGAATGACATGGCGGGTTTACGTGGCCTCATCCATGTTTGTGTGTATTGGGACACATTGTATTGTTGACTGTCGGGTATCTTGCCTCGTTGATGACGCGTTCGGCCCTCCTCCTTGGCGTCTCGATCACCATAAAAACCTCACCATCCCTCTTGGTTTTGTCTATTTTCTTTCTCTTCATCCATCTATTGTCATTTCTTCTGCCATCTATCAGTTTTTTTCATCAGTCAGCTCTTCAGCCATCTTCTTCAATCCTCTTCAGTCAGCTCTTCTGCCATCTATCAGTTTTTTTCAATCAGCCGCCATCTTCAGTCAGCT